CCCCCAGCCGCTCCCCAGCAGCCTGGGGCTCCAGACCCCTCCCCAGCTCCGCTGCCCTTCTCTGGACATGCTCCAGCCCCTCCAGGTCCTTCGGGGAGTGAGAGGCCCTCACTATTTTTAAAGAAAATTTATTTCTTTCCATTTTCATGGAAGAAAATGAAAACAACCACAGCTATCTGCTCCTGAAACCGAAATGAACTTAACAAGGCTTTCCCTTCCTATCTACAAAAGTATATTTTTAGAATAGAGAACACAGGGAACACTGTACTACGTAGATCCCAAGCGCAGCCTAAGCAGAGCTACATGGCACTAGTATTTTGAGCAGATTTCCTGATCTCTCCTGGCAGTTACCACTTTGAGGAGACCTAGGGAGCAGTTTGGCCTAGCAGGTGATGCTACCGACACCCATTTTGTGCTGCCCCGTCATCCCCCATTTTAAAAATCCATCTTTTTTCCTAACCGGGTTTCTTGTCCTGAGAAGCAAAATGCAGGGACACTCTTCCCCTTATTTTGGCTCAAAATAACCACTTTGCCTCTCTTTGTCTTCAAAGGGCTTGTAGTCACTGCTGGTCTAAATGATTGGTTTTGTACAGGACTGTCATGCCAAGTTATGCTTACCAACGGTGAAAACTTATCCTCCCCTCCCATCACAGAAAGTGGCCCCCACAGACTGCCAGTACAAGCTTTCTCGCAAGGCACCCAAGCCCTCTTTTTCTCTGCTTTGGTCAGCCCCCCCGTTGCTCTCCTCCGCCCCTTTCAAGCGCTCCCTGTTCTGAACAGCACGTATTACCGCTTAAAGCAGAGAAATAAAGGGCCCGGTTATAACTCAAGTGCCAAGATCAGAAGGCAAGATGAGCTCTTCCTTCAGCTGTCAGCTGCCCCAACTTTAGCTCCCGAGAGCAAAGGCCAAATGTTTTAGCTGCACCTAAATTGTCAGGCCATCTGCTTAGGATGAACATATGGCTACTTGCGCAAAACCACACAGCAAAGCTAGGAACTCACCATCAAGGCCAAAGTTCGTATTTCCTAGAAGAAAGTAAAAAAAAAAAAAAAAAAAAAAAAACACCCAAATCACAAACCAACCCAAAACCCCACAAAACAGAACAACTCGGTGTGGAGCTGCAGATGAAAAAACAAAAATACCTATTCACAAAAAAAAAAAAAAAAAAAAAAAAAAAAAAAATAGAAAAAATAAAATCAAAAAGGAAAACAGCCATTTGAAAACTAAGCTTTTTCCTGGGGGTGGTTTGTTTGTTCTCCACTAACGTAACATTGGTCCAAATGAGCAAGGAGCCTACCAAACGAACAAAAGCCAAAAACCCAGCTCTGAGTCCCATGGAGTTGTTATTCTATGATTTCTCCTTTTCCCAAGTAGAACCCAGGCTAACCCAGAGCTGGGCACAGTTCCTCACTCACTGCACACCATCAGCACACACTTCTGAGGAAGCTTTGCAGTCTTTTCATTCACCATCTACCCCAAGCCATGGCCCACTCTTGAGGGGATTCACATGACCTCTGTGTCCACACCAGCACTGATATATCAACTAAGCAAGGTGCACAAATATTTACCAAAACACTCTATGCAGTGAGCTGTGGGATGGAGGGGGCTATGGAAGAACCAAGTATTTCCCTTCACTGTTACTGCCGAGGAAGCAGATCTACACCGTTCCTGGTTTTCTGCATCCCCTGGGAAACAGTAAAGCACCCAGCAGTCACCTCATGGGATGGGAGGGCAGTTGCTCACCTGGAGAGCTTCACTGATGTTACCATCATAGTCCATCATTTCATCCTTCCCAGGCTCTCCTTTGGGGCCCTGCAAAATACCAGATCTTTAGCCAGGGCTTCCCTGGGGTCACCCTTCCCATGGGGGGAACCGCTCAGAGCCATGGTTCACCCTGAAAAGGGGGTCTCAGAGGGGCCTGTTTCATCAGCCTCCAGTCTTTCATTTATTGAGCAAAGCTCTTGAAAGCACATTTTATAGGGGAAACACTACCAAAGCGTAGCCAGACAAGCCCAGGTCACCATGCCATGACCATCAAAGCTGGCAGGTCTGGTAAGCGGTGAAGTTGAGGCCAGAATGCAGGAACTGGATTGTCTGACTGATTGTCAGGCTTGGGCACGCACCAAACACCCTCCTGCTGCCCTTTGCTGATATGCCAAGGGCCCGAGTTCAGACCGGGGTGTCCAGACCCACCTCCTTCCGCAAATGAGCCAAACATTCATGCCGAGGTGGCTTGGAAGACTTTTTGTACCCTAAGGTGGAGGTGTCTTCTGATGAGGGTACGGAGTAGAGAAATGGCCTGTCTCAAACTTAGCCATTGCCCTGCTATAAGCACTTTTAGTGATGGTGAGAATATCTGTCAAGAAAGCAGAGGCCCAGCCTAGACCGTCAGTGTGGGCCCACTATCCTTAGACCCCTTCGAAGGGCCAAAACTCTTCAAAAGTGTTAGTGAAGGGACACCTACCCTTGGGCCCATGGGTCCCTGGTCTCCCGGTGAACCAGGTTCCCCCTGTAACAAGAAGAACATGCTGTTAGCAAAGCCTATGCCTTCACTTGCTGAACTCCAGGAACTGCTGTTCTCTGCTAGTCCTCCAAAACAGTCTGGGACTAGACAGCTCAGTTTAAAAATGCTCCTTTTCAGCTAAGTTTTGTACAGGCAGGAACAAATTTGCAGCTACTGAACCCGGAGCTGGGTTGTGCAGAAGCACTCTGTACCTTTTCCCCCCGTGACCCTGCAGCACCAGGCCGGCCAACGTCACCAGCTTCTCCCTGAGAGAAAGAGAAAGGGAAAGGGATGGGTTTGTATTGCACGGAGGGGGTGCGACTCCACTGCTGGCTTTGCATTTCCAGGAGGAAGAATTGCACCAGCCAAGTGCCCCTGCCATGCCCACAGCTCCTCAGGTAGCCCAAATCTCCCACCGTGACTTCACACCAGGTGCCCTTCTCTTCTACCCAGCGCGGAGGGGTTATTCAGCATGAAGGAAAGCACCCAGTTCAGAGGGTTGTTCCAAGTACACATGAAACGGGACCTCAGATTTAAGTGTTCTTGGTGTCCTTTGCCAAGGGAAAGGATTTTGCTCCTGCTGCTCCTTGAGGAGGTAGCAGAGGAAGGGGAGAGAAGACCTGGGGGGCCTCTGTCCTGCCTCCCCGTGTCCACCCTGCCTCAGGTACCACAGGGACTAGAGGCTGTCATTGATTCAGAGCAACTGGTTTCTCACAGAGCCCAGAAGGGAGTTATTTGAGCACAGGGAGGGCATTTTCCTCCCAGAAGCACAGTTTACAAATTCTCTCACCTTCAGCATTTAAAAGAACAAAACTGAAATGCCCTGCAGAACCCAATATCCTTCCAGCAGGTAATGAGAGGTGGGCACAGATGAATGCAACCTTTGCCCCTTCCTGCACACCTCGTGCTGGGCACAATCCCACACACCACACAACTCACCGGAGGAAAAAAACCCACTCACTTTTGGTCCAGGGGGTCCAGGCAGGCCTGGAGGGCCAGGTTCTCCTTTACCTCCCACCAGGGCATTCTCAGCATTTCCCTTCTCTCCCTGTTTGCAAGGAAGAACAAGCCACACGTCACAGCTCAGTCTCTCTCCATCTCCGTAGCTTCATTTGCCAAACTGTTGGCTTTGAGAGACGTGGCCCAAGACAAGGTCCATCAGCTGGCCACGTGATAGCCCAGAAACATCACTGCTCCAGGGCCACCAGCTGCCCAGGAACCAGGCCAATATATTCCTGCCTGGGGGCTCCACCTAGAGCCCTGCCAGCGGTCACAGCTACCCTCATCCCTTCGGCTGCAGCGCTGCTGCTCAGCCCTTATTCCCCAGGGCCATAAAAAGCTGCGGACAGACCTCATACCCCGGCCTCCAGTTTGAACACAACTGTTTTCTTCCACTGTTGAAACTGAGCTGATAAAGCCACCCGATGACGGCTTTTTTTGCTATGTCTCCCTCTGGAGCTGTAGTCATCGGCCAGGCAGCCAGCCCTGCAGGCCACAGCCTTTGCACAGAGCAGATACAAAGGCAGCAAAAGGAAAGCTTTGCTTGCACCGAGTTGCTGTTACACCCTCATCCTTTCCTGACATGGCCACAGTCATTCAGTGCACTCTCCCCTTTCCCAAAGGAAAAGCACCCTGTGAAAGACTGATTTGGAAGGTCCAATTTCTATCCACACCTCAGGACAAGGAAAAAGCCGCAGCTTCAGAGCTTAGCTTTAGCTGACCTGCCCTGGGTCTCTCCAAGCACAAGGCCACTCTTCCAACACAGAGCACAGCAGCGCAGCTCCCAAAAATCCCCTCTCCTCCTCGCACATGGATCTTACACCAGGAGGGAGGCTGAAGTGCCACATTACATCTGAGGTCATGCTTTCAAAGGGGGACTACTGGAACATGATTCCCTGGTCACGTTCCCAGGATCACAGCCCCCCCCCTCACTGCAGGAAAGCAGGCGATTCCTCCCAAAAAGGCATCCTTTGTGTGGCCCCATCGCACCCCTGGCTGGGGTTTCTCATGCTGACATCCAGAACATGCTGCCGTACGCTGTGACAGTGACCTCAGAGCGCATGAGCTGTGCAAAGCTGGCACGAGAGGGAAGAAGGAAAGGGGATGAGAGTGCCCCCCCCAAAAAAGTCAAAGATACAGACCTTCGTGCCAGGGAGTCCGGGAAGCCCAGGGTCACCAGCTCGTCCCTTCTCACCCTGTTGGTAAAACAGACACAGTCAGGCTGACTCTGCAGGCTTGCTGAAAAAAAACTCTTTCCCTTCCCCGGGGGATTTTATTTTAGGCATAGACAAGGCATCCTCCTTGTACCTGCTCAGACCAGTGAATGTTTTCTCCTGTTCTCTTGACTATCTCTGCACATCATTGCCATATCTCTCCAAAGGAAGGTGAGTGGGAAAGGGATCCAGGATTCCCCCTGTGCATCTTCCTTATCACTCCGGTCTGCTAAACCCTTTTCCCTGTCAGCCCTTCAGCATGGGCTCTCCCCATTCCATACATCCGGAAAAGAATTTGTTGCCCAGAGTGAATTTTATTTGGAGTGCAGGATTTTCCCTGTGCCCCGATAGAGTTCAGCTCTTTTCACAGAAAATTGTCCACTGCTTGAGTCCATCCCAGTTTTCACACACCTACTCCTTACGCTGTGAATTACGCTGCTTTGCTTTGGCAAAGGTCTCACAACCAACACTCCCACACCTCTCCCAAGGGGTGCTTCCTGTTCCAGTTCCCTAACGCCAAATCCCAGTCTCATCATGCTCTTAAAAAAAAAAAATATATAATAAAAGCAGAGCAGCATCTCAGTTAGCAGCCAAGCTCTGTGACACGCAGTGGTGGTGAAAAGCAGTGAAAACAGGAATGGCAAAAACGGCAAAGGCAGAAGATGATGGTGTCAAACCCTTGACACAATGCCTGGAGAGCAAGGCCTGCAGGCTGAGCTGCGGGAGGCGCCGTGCGGTACGGAGGACACCACAGGGCAGTGGTGGGCAATGGAGGGCGCCCAGCACCCAGCATTCGCTTGGTGAAATGACTTTGCTTAGTTCACTGTGACATTTGGGTCACCTTTTGAATATTGGGGCTCAGTTAATGGTCTTTATGTTGAAGTTAAGTTCTATTCAGCCCAGCCCATCCAGCTGCTAAACCCATGGCTTCCAGCTACAGCGCCCTGTTCGGGTGTCTGCTTTTTGCCAGGACAGACAGGGATATCCGAGGTTTCTGTTACCATGATGAGACGTTCCAAGTGCATCACCAGAAAAATGCGTGTTCTTCCCTGCAATCTTCGCACCTTAACAACTTGTAGAGCTTACAAGGAGCAGTTCAAAGCCTCTTTCCCCCAGCAGGTGCCTAGCTCTCTCCACAACAGCAGCACACCAGATCAGCAAGGCCAGCAAAGAGTCCCTCTTAGTGCCATGCCATTGCCTGCAGCACCAGTGCTGCACACCAGTCTTGTCAGCACTGGAGGGCACACATCTGACATGCAGGGGACTTGCATCGGTGCTCCAGGAACAGACATGCACTGATGGCTCCAGGGAAAATAATTAACAAGCAGCAATTTTATTTTTTTTTAGGCATTTCTAGAGTGCAGTGACCCCTTTCTCTATGGTAATTTGGCCTCCAGCCACCTGTAAGGCCCCCATCCAGCTTCCCTCCCCTGCCAGAGCATGCACATCGCTGCCATAAATTAATGCTTCTCTCCCTGGAAGGAAGGAAAACATTTCCAGGACCTCATGCCCAAAGAAAATGGTTGGCCTTCAGGGTTTTTGTAAGAATATAATCTCTAAGCCTGTCCCAGGCCTCTGTGAGTCCCTGATTCTGCCTTGCTCAGCTTTTGGTATCCTACTTTTCATTCAAGGACTAGTTTTCAGTCCACGTGCCCGTAAGGGCTACTGAAAACATCCCGTGCTGCCTGAGCAGTGACGTAAAGAAGCAGATGTCTTGGGGAGGGAGGTCAGATTACTGAATCCCTCTTTAGGGTATTATTTCTGGAGTCAAAAGATGCAGCACTGTCCTTAGTCGTTCCCAGGACACGACTATGTCCCAGGCATCTCACGCTGCCCTGCCTGCCACCAGCCCCCACCTCCTGCAAGCAGGAACACGCAAACACACTTCACCAAGGGGGGCAGGAGCCAGAAACGGACACATAATCCCCCACAAGCACGACAACACAACGCAAAGCAGGCTCCCGCCAGCTCCCGCTCGCAGGGGGCACAGCACAGCACTGCCAGGACACCAAGGCCAAACACGCAATGTCCTACCCGCTGCCCCCTCTTCCCTGGCAAACCTGGGGGGCCCATCCTCCCTGGGACTCCAGGATCTCCCTTCGTGGGGAAGAAAAGAGACAGAGAATGTGGCTGTTACATGGCTGTCGCATGCTGTAACATAACCCAGCGAGCCTCAAACAAGAGGAGCCAGCTGCTCAGAAACCAAGCCGGCTGCTTAGTGATGGAGAGTGATGGGGTATTTTTGTGCCGTGCCCGCCACAGGAACTCAAACCAGGTCACACTGCACTGAGAGAGGGGAGACTGGTGCAGGGCCTACGTTCCTACAGCGCCTGACAGAACAACACCCTGCAGCAAGACGGGAAGACTTCTGGTGGACACAGAAGTGTTGGGAGGTAGAAGGGGCTGAGGCAGAAGGGGCCAAGGGAATAGGGAGAAGGAACATATTTGCTAAGCAAAGTGTGCTGTGTATATTTTGTGGAGTGGGGAGAAAAGGAGGGAGGCAGCTGGAGGATATTGCCATCAACAACCCAGCAGGAGGGAGAGGATCAGTTTGCAGTATGGTCCCCCTCTCACTTGGCATCACTGTATGCTCCCACCATTTTGCTTACACTGGCAGGTGTGAGCCTGTATTTGGGCACTAGGAAGTACAGAGCCATTCCTCAGCTCCCTCAGCTGCTCTGGGAGGGGAAAAAAACCACACAAACAAACCAGAACTGCAAGCTCAGAGCAAAGCCACCTGAGAGTACCTTTTCTCCTGGAGTCCCGGGCTCGCCCTGGTGAGAAAGAAAGAGGAAAGTAAAGTGAAAAACCAGGAGGAGACAGTACAAAACCTCCTAGAGCTATCAGAGGGGAGGAAAAGATTCCTCAATAGAGACCTTGGCCTTGTAAATAACGGCATGAGGATGCTTTAAATGCGTGGTTTTATTCATGCCTGGAGCTTGTTTTATCTTCAGTACCCAGTTCCTAGGCTGCTGTAAGAAACCAGCAACCCTCAGACAAGAGGCTTGTGTGAAACTGAGGACCCACCTTGCCGTATTTTAAGAGAAGGTTTACCAGATACAAGAGAGCATAACAAGACAAGACTCATCTGCTGGCATTAAGGAATTTGCCTGCTCCTAGCTCTGTGTGCACAGGAGCAGAGCAAGGCTGCAGTTGCAGCTGGGGTGGGGGGGGAGGCTGTGTTGATATGGGATCAGTGTCGCATCCAGGAGGAAAACCCTCCCCACCAGCCCTGGAGATAACTTCTTTATTTCTGTCTTTTTTTTTTTTCCCCCCAGCAGCTGGACGGCATCAGGACTTCAGGTCGTTGTCTCGTTATGCATCTTGGATCCCCGGGATAACTTCCAGCCCCCTAAATCTGCACCTTTGCTCTGCCGCCACCCCGACGCTGTTGCGGAGCCTGACGAGCTCACCAGGCAGCAGCAGGGTGCTGCTGGAGCCGGGACCGGTACCTCCGCCAAAAGCAGCAGCAGTTCTGATATTCCCCTCCAGTGGGAGCTGTCCGACCATTTTCCCGTGCCTTGTGCGCCCTCAATTCCCACCCTCGCTCTTGAGCCCGCCCTACTTAAGCCGCTGCAGTGTAGCCTAAAACTGACCTTCATCCCTGCGGTGGCCGGCCCAGGAGCGCCCTGGCAGAGAGAGGAAAGACAGGGACACCTTGTTTGAAACGCATCGGACACAAACTTTTAAAACCAAACCAGTATCAGCCAGGTGGAACTAAAAAGGCAAAATCCACATCTTTTCCTTTCCAAAACTCGGAAATAATGCTGTAACACCACACAGCAGGCATCCTCCTTCCCTGTGCAGGTCGTTCACCTACGGCAGTGGCTCTGCTTTCCAGAAAGCTCCTCCAAGGCAGGCATCGTGAGCACAACCCGGTCAAGACAACCAGGTTTCCACACACACACCCCCCCCACCCTGGTTTTAGTCCTGCAAGTGAATCAAAAGGCCAACAAGCAGAACAGCATCAAATAACTGAGGAATGCGAAGATGGACTGAGGACCAAACACACTGAGTTCAGCGCTTGATCCCAGATACATCAGCTCAAGCATCCCAAGAAAGGCCAGCTCGTACCCCAGAGCCTTGGTCTTGCTATTTCCCCTCATTCTGTTTTTATCACAGAAGACAAACCCTACAGTAAAACGTTTTCAGGAGAGCTCTGAAGCCAGCCACCTTAGGGGGAGAAAAAAAAAAATAATAAAAAAAAATATATATATATTTCCAAGCACTGCAATTCAGGCATCATCCTGCAGTGCTGAGCAAGCCACCACCATGAGACCACGGAGTCCAGGCTGCCCTGCAATCCGAGATAGGTGCTTTGAAACCCCAGGAGGCAGCTGCTCCCACCAGGACAGTGACACTTCCCTTGACAGCACTGATGCAAAAAGCAGGTCTTCCCTATCAACCCTTTTCTCTAAGATCTCTGTATGCCCTGAGTTAGTAGTATTAGTTAGGTCCTGGTGAAAAGGTCCAGTTACGAAAGCGAATATGAGGGATAACGAGGGTCTAAGGAGAGGGGAGGAGGTGACTTTGTGTTAGAAGGTGGGAAATGAGAGGGGTGGGACGTAGCACATGAGGCAGAGAGGAGGATGGAGCCAAGTTCAAAGTGAAAAGAGCTTGGAAAAGTTCAAACAAGGAGGAGTGGGGAGCCAGAGAGCAGCAGGATCATACCTCTCAGCTTTCTGAAACAGAAATCAGGGACAAAGCTAAAAAACACAAGGACAGAAGATGGAGATCAGGGATTCTATGCAATAAAAGGGGGGAAAAAAGCATTCCAGATCGTCTCAGGGGTCAGTAGGTTTTAGCAAACACGGGCTAGAGCCATGAAAGGGATTACGTGCAGCCAGTGGCTTGGGTTAGGCTTTCCCAGTGCATTTGGGATGCCTGTTCCTCAACTCTTTGGCCTTTAAATGGCAGTGAACGCAGATGATGTTATTTTCTAGTATTTATCCTAAAACTGCAATGCACACACATGCAGGCTTGCTCACACGCTGACCCTGATTCACCGCTGCATTAGTCCAGGTTCACACTTGCGTAACCCTACTGATCGCAGGGGGCTGACACACATCGCTGAAGGTTGCAGCGGTCACTTGGGACCCCGAATTTGCAAAATGCCCATTCCCTAGAAATGTCGGCGGTTGGCCGCTCTCACTAGCGTAAAGCATTAAGATCCTGATGTTGCAAGACAGCATCAGACTGGGCATGCCATTTGCTTTGTAAAACGCTTCTTCCCCCACCACCTCCTTCATAAATTAGGCCCTACATTTCGCAATTTAGAAGCAGAAAGAATTCAGCTGAGGATAGTCATCGACCAACAGACACACACACAAATCCAGGTGATGCTTGCGCATCAGGGACAGTCGAGTGGTGCGGGTGAGATCAAGCAGACAAGAAAAAACTCTTTCCAAGGTACCTTAGTGCCATGTCTTCCTGGCAGCCCTGGCATGCCTCTCTCCCCCTGGAAGCAGAGCGAGAAAGACAGAGAAAGAGAGCAAGAGACACGAGGTGAGTCCTCCCGGGGCTCTGCGAGGTGACGAGGAAGCCTCCTGGGCGAGGTGGGGCACAACCCCTCTTCCCTGCCTGACTCTCACCACGCTGATTGCCCCAGCCAGGGCCATTTCCCACCAGCAGTACCGCTCGAGCCTGTTGCGTACAGCAGGACTGAGCCTGCTGGAGAGCCGCAGCAGCGTGCTGGGAACACAGAGAGTTTCTGTACCCTGCTACCACGTCCCATGGCATGGTGGTCTGCAGGGCATAGGGAGTCACTCAGCCTGCAGCGACTACAGAATGAACAAACTTATCCGGAGAAATAGAGAATCCAAGGGTTGCCTTGCACCGTTAGCGTGAATTTTATCTGGTGGCAAATAGAAAATAAACCATCCTTAAGCAGCCTGCTTACTGCTGTTATTTTGTTCTGGGTGTTCAGTCCTTGCTTGGAAGGACTCTTTAGCAGGGATATATGTATATGCTTCTTTTCTTAAAAGCACTTTTTGTAATTGTGGCATCCTGGGAACTATATTTTGCAAAATACTATCCAATACCATAATATACGTGGCCTAGGCAGCGTGAGCACCTCCTACCCTATGCAAGGATACTTAACTATGGTCTTTTCAACTGTCAGAAAAATAAAACAATAATTATGAATGCTTTGTACTGGAGAAGTGGGGAACCACTCTCTGTCCCTCCTTCTCAACTGCGCTCCCATTTTTCTCAAATGAGTATGAGCAGAGGAGACCAATGCTTTCTGCTGGGAGGCACCCACACTGCTCACAGAGTCCGGCCCCACAGAGCAGCCCTGCGTGTGAAAGTAATTCCCCATCCCAGAGACTTTCCTGAAAGAAACTGCCTGCTTGAAGAGCCGTTTAATTATTTAGCCCTGCAAAAGCAAAGCCACCTCAGTGAGAGGGAGCAAGGTAGCCCCTTACAGGGGGCAAGTTACAGAGCAACCACGCTACCCTGCATTTTCTGGTGATGACCTCGGTTGGTTTGCACAGCCCCCACTGGCACCGGCAGGATCACGCAGGCACTAGAGCTAATTAGAGAGCGGGAACAACGAACATGACACTACACCATTAAAGAGCGGAAAGAAACCCCAGAGCCAAAGCCAGAGAATAAGCAGGAAAAACAACTCTGCAGAACATCTTAAAACCCTTATGTATTTGAAAGCCACTGTAGTACAGTGAGTACCCCCTGGGCTGATCCCTTTGCAATCCCCTGGCCCTTTTGCGTTGCGCAGGGTGCCATAGCCAGGCAGCAGCAGCCCACCAAAACCAGCACCGGAACACCACAGCCAAGCCAGAAGCTGGGAAACATCACCAAAGGCGGCTATGAAAGGCAAAACACCCAGCGTGGGTCCCTGGTGGACTCCAGGAAGACGGTCAGCATCTCCCAGCTCTCCTGAGCTTCACGCTGATTTAGGAAGCACCTCCACACTCCCTGGAAGAGATAGGCCACGCCTTTCCCCTCCAGCACTGAAGACACCCCCATACCCTCTCCTGTTGCACCTGCGAGCAGCTTTATACCCACTCAGTGCCTACCATGACAGAGCATGTCCCATGCTGATCAGCTCGTTAGCAGTACTGGCTACAGGTTGCCAATTAAAACAGAGACCCTTCCTTTTTTGCTCCTGGCTGTGAAAGGCAGACTATGAGGGGGTTAGTGAGCAAGACTGTGGGCAGTTTTCTTTATTGCTCTTTCCACAGAGCATAAGAAAAAGCTTCATCCTAAAGACCTTTCAAAAAAAACCCCAAAAAACCAAAAACCTGAACGTGATGGCTAGGCTGGGGGGCAATGAGTCAAATGCTTCTTCAAATGACCCAGGTGGTCACACTTACTGGTTGTCTAATAACCTTTCTGGGACACAGATGTAGGCCACAATGTGGTCAAAGTACAAATGGTGGCCCCAGAAGAAAATATCTAAGAGAGTATTTACGTTGTGCTGTATCTGTTGCTGGGTGGGGAGAGGTTATTAAATGAGCAAGGGGGCTGTGTGAAACCAGCAAGCCCCTTCAGGCCTGAAATGCTCTTCACCGCCAGCAAAAGCAGTGATACGCCATGCAAAGTTGGTCACTACAGCTAAACTATGAATCCTAGCGTTTGTCCTCGGCTCCTCACAACAAAGCGAAGGTAGAATCTAGCCCAGGTAATTGGATCCAAAGGTGGAAGCATCGAATGCCTTCCAGAGTCCCCAGTGATCCTCCTCGGTGGGAGGACGACGGAAAGAAGCAATTTCCAAAGACAGCAAATGCATGCGCTGTGCGGATGTTCAGGAGCTGCTACTGGGTGATGTCTGGCTGCTGATCTAAGGGTCCCTCTGCGCTTCCATTTCAATTCCTCTGAGCAAAGAGGAAAGGAAGTTGAGAGAAAAGTGATCCTGACGATAACAAGTGAAAGTCTGTGTTTGAAAGAGGAGGCTGCTATGGGGCTGGGGAGGTGGCCCTTTGGAGCTGCAATTTAGTACCACAAAAAGCGTGGTGGGTTTCATCTCCACTCTTTATGAAGTGGGATGAGTAAGGGCCCAGGAGCTAGAGCACATCTTCAGGGTCGCCCTGAGTCATCGCTCTGCAACACAGACCAGAGAAGGCGCTCACCTGTGCATGACCCCGAGACATCACTGGAAGACTTGGAGACTTCCCCTTTGCCAGAGCCCAAATCAAGGACTGATCGGTCCTTGTACATGGGTGCAAGCAGAGTAGGTGGCTGCTAGCAGCAAAATGTGGGAGCATAAGCAGGGGTGGAACGCAGCTTCTCCTTCCAGCCTTCCCTCCCACCCAGGCCACGCTCTAACTTCGGTCCTCCAGTTCAGCTTAATGGGAGAGCACCTGGCTGTTGAGGCAGCACTAAACTCCTAGCCCCCAAAACACCTTAGTTCTGGGTGCAATTCTGCTTTCGTTCACATGGGCACAAACCAGAAGCAATGCCTTTGTGCTTGATGGAATTACGCTGATGTGAAAATGGACGCGGCAGAACCTCTGGACTTCACATGCACTGCGTTATTTCGGAGGAGGTACTGTAGGAGGAGAATCACTGCTGTTCTATTCAACTATTACCCTACAGCCTGCAGGCCTAAAGAACATTTCTTTAAACTCGGTGTAACACATCCATGTTATGTTCTAAAGGGGCCTTTTCTCCCTTCGAATAGTAATCCACCCAGATGGAAAAAATATAGAACGCGTATATGCTGCACGATAAATGAGATGCACGCCACGGACCAAATACTTGAAATATATGTGTCACTGTTAATGCCTTTCAAAATATTACAGGACCCGTCTTTTCTCGTGATGTTTAAGATGTATGGCATGACACAGTATGCTCTGACTGTCATGAACACTTGCCAATGTTGTAATGTTCTAAGCACAGCCTATGTTGAGTAATATACTTTAAATATATGGGTACAGTGAATTTCAATCAAATAGATAACATCTGGGCATAGACCATATGAGCCTGTAAAAAGTGTCCAGAAACAAACAGAAAAGCCTGGTGCCAAACCTCAGCCTGAGTTGCAGAGTTTGAGTGGATTTGATGCGTCAGCTAACCAGATTTTATGAGGAAACCCCAACCCAGCCCATCAAATGGAGAGATGTAACAAATCATTAGCAAGCTTCATAGTCAGAGAAATATGCCTTTGGTAGGAATCGAATTCCACCAAACGGATAAAGGCCGCTTTTATTGCCTGAGCTCGGAGTGTCTGTCTGGGGTTAATCAGAGCACAGATGTGTACTCCATTAAATACCCCACAGAGCTGCCTCAGACCCAGCTTCCTCTTACAACCCATCAGCTCAAGGAGCAGTATCTCCTGGATGATCTACCGCGGTAGAAGACCGTATTTCTCATGCCTACCTTGATGCCAGCGTCCCCTTTTTCACCCTGCCCAGCGAAGAACAGAGAGGGAGGAAACACAGAGAGGGACAGTGAACATGAAATCAAGCAAGCAGAACAATCCTAACAGCGAGGGCCAAAGAGAAAGCAGCCGAAGTAGGGAGCATGCAATAAATGCAACCCCAGGCCTCCAGAGAGACCTGACTCCCGATAATAACCCGGTACCAGCCTGAACTCTGGCTGCAGCCCACCCCTCCCTGGGAATGCAAGGCAGCTCGCGCTGCTGGAGTGGATGCTGGAGGTCGCCCGTACTAACGCTTCCTGTGTGTTTTGGGTGTAGGCAAACCATCAATCTGTTTCATGGACCAGAATATCCTCATTCCCCCATGCCAAAGCCTCTGAAGGCCGGGTCAGTTTTATTCTTTAATAGGGGCTTGTGCAGGGTGGCACCTGGTTCTGGTTCAGGAATCACTCTGGCCAAAAATTGCTCAGGCCCTTTACACAGGAGCAAGTTTTTCTGTTTACGTGGCTCATCCCAGGCTGCAGAGAGCTGCCTCCAGCCCCGACCCTCCATATTCCTTTAGCACATCTCTAGGCTTGGGTGCCGCTTATCTGCCCTTGGGAGATGGCCCCACTGACTCTAAGGGTTACCTTGGGGCCAGGAGTTCCAGGGAGGCCATGCGCACCAGGCAGGCCTGACTCGCCCACCTCACCCTGAGGAAGAAAGAAAACGGAGGAAGAAGCAAACACAGTGAGCAGCAAGAAAAGGAGCCTGTGGGATGCTTGAAAGGTCAGCAAAGACGTGAGAGGGATGTCCCTCACAGAGGTGCCCACCACACACCAACCTACCATCTCTGGGTCTCTCTGGGAGAGGAGCACCGTTCTCCATGAAGAAAGATATTCAGGGTGTGAAACGTATGGATTGAAGGGAACAGTCTCACAATTCTGTATCATATCAGAGCTAACACCTTTGCTCAACTCTTTGCCCTCTGTTCCCTTCCCCCTGACCGACACACCAGGGAGGATTTTCTCCCCTACTTTCATCCATTCCTTCCACCTTTCCCAGAGAAAGGTCACAACCTTGGGCTCATTCCTCTGAGATCAGTGCAGGCTCTTTCCTTGGTAAGTAAATTAGCCAGACAAGTTGTTTCATGTAAGAGGAGCTCATAGGAGAGGCCCTCGCTGCGAGGTTGTTGCAGGGACCCCCTCACCGCTGCCGAGAGCCGCCTGCCCAGCGCTCACACAACAGGATGGGCTCTTAATGGAAAAACCGACGGTTCACTGGAAGAAGAGGCAATAAATTGTGTCTGTCTGCAGGAGTGGGCTGTGGTCCGCAGGGGCTATAATTTCCACTTCCTGACATAACAAAAACTTCTCAGTTTATACAGAACTAATTAAAAAGCTCTCAGGTCTTGCCATTTTGCTCACGGAGCACCCATAAAGCAACGTGGAGATAACAGGGGACACAGGACTCCCACCTGCTGGGAACAGTCGCCTTCCCCTTCTCCAGCTGACATCTCTTTAGCAGTATCTCTTCATTCCCTCTCTCCCCTTTGATCTCCCTTTGTGTCCTTCCCCTGTCTCTCTTTCCATCTCTTCATTACACCCTCTGGGCTTGACAACCCTGCTGGTAATTAGCTGCTGCTGAAGACATGCGGGCATTGCCAGCTTCTGCCTTTTAACCTGGAGCAGGATCGACTCTTTCCTACTTTATTCCAGAGAGCAATATAGAGCCATAGGTTTGGCCCTTTCCAGCCTCCTGTTCAGCTCTGGATGCATGAGAGGCATATTTCAGCCTGGAAATGAGTGTAGAGAGGCGCACAGACAGGGAGGCATCTGTACCACAGCTACTGGAGAGCTACAACTTTGGGTCCAACCTCTCCTTACATGGGTGATGGCAGGGGATCTGTGGGCCTGTCGCAGCCCTGTGTCCCGTGGGAGCAGAGCTCAGCAGAGGGGCTCCAGGGGAGTCCAAAGATTTGCATCTGTGATCACACAAGGCGTCAGTGCACCTTAACTCATTAACAATATTGGAGCTCCCCTTCTTACCTTTCTGCCAGGGTATCCCTGAATCCCAGGATCTCCCTGCAAAAGGCAAAAAGAAAAAAGAATGTGAGGCTTGGCCTGAGAAGGAAAAATCCCTGCCCTTTTCCCTGGGGAGATGCTGGGATGAAAGGGAAATTTCCATGGGGAAAATTCACCTTTTGCTCAGAGTGACTCCACTGAGTTCCTGACCCTTCAGACCCGCGGGTCAGTGTTACCTGCACTGGACTGAGCCCTGGCAGGAAAGGTGCATTAAGCAGCTGGATAACTCATGCCAGCTTCATGCCCCAGCTCTGTGGGTCCTATCTCCTCACCCTGGCTAAATATCTCAAATAAAAACAAAGGGGGGTGGGTGGTTGCAGCTGAAAAACAACAACAACCACCCCTCCACTCACATTTTGGCAAGTGAATAAATGGGAAACTGTGGTGGAGTTAACAATAGCATTGCAAAATCAGTTCCTGAAGCACTGGTAAATGCTTTGAGAGTGGAAGAAGCCAATAAAGCTGTGTGTGGCAAAGAATTTTGCAAGAGGGGCTGATGAGGCGTGCCTTGCTCAGTCAAGATGCGACTCAGACGTGTCGCCTGGACAAAACCCATGAGTCAGCACACAGGCCGGGCCCCAAAGGCAATACTGAGCTGGGTTAGAAATCTTTTTCAGCTATTTGATATAACCTTCTTTCCCCCTCTTCCACCCGTTAAAATGTACATGTCTCTCCTTGCCAGGAGTGTCCACCTCTCTGTTTATCACCTTGCTCCCTCTGAGGAGGCCAGACATCTCACCTTTGGTCCAGGAGGCCCAGGTAAGCCCTGTAGATAAAATCAAAACAGATACTGGAGTTGGCAAATGTAGACAACATTACGTGGACTGCAAGGTGATGGGAGACGCCGACTGCTTTGGTTTGAAATGCCCCTTCAGAGAGACGATTGGCACTGGTAAGCTCAAACATCCCCGGCCTGTTCTTCATGTAGGTGAACGCTATCTTAACCCACGCTCCCAAGTAAATTCATGCCCACAGTGCTCCGTCCACCAGGCCTGGTCTCGCTGAAATCTGAAGACCAAAAATCTGCTTTGTCTTATGTGTTGGGCTCCAGAATCTTTTCTGTTTCTCTGCCTTTGCTTGGGAAACTTGTTCCCAGGCCACTGTGCAGCTCTGGAGTAAATCAGGCATCTTGCAGCTTCCTCTGACAAGCTAAATAGAGAGAGTGTATTAACAAACAAACCACTTGTGGTTTTAAATGAGAAATAACCAAACAATTTACCTGATACGAACTATGAAGTATACCAGATATGTCTCTATGTAAATATAAATAAACGAAAGATCCATACAGGAGCTGCCTTCCTCATGTGAGCAGAGAGAAAGAGAAAACTACTCTACCTACACATTGATGCCTCTATCACCTTTGGTGTCGCCTGCTTATAGCAATTTAAATATTTAGTCATCACATCTTTGGCTTCTTAGAGCTCGGAGAGAGATGAGAATGCTTAGAGGACACCCGACCCCTACATTGTGTATGGAGAGGTGCTTTTGCCTCAGGGAACAAGACTTGCTTGTCCCGCTAGCAGGCCTTGAAAACTCTTGGAGATGGAAGCTCCTTTCACGACGCAGTCGCCGCAGGGCCAGCGTGCCATGTTTCCCCCCGCGGCTCCCAGGAATGGAGCTCGTTTCTGGTACTCACCTTTCCATCTCTGCCAGGCTTCCCAGGTTCTCCTGCTCTGCCCTGTTGCAAGAGAGAGGGACGTTAGCAGGATTTTCTGCCCTGCCCCCTGCCATTTAGCAATGGTATTATTTTAAGTGATGCTTCTGTTTTCGCCCTCCTTGGCTGCTTGCTACCAGCCTGAGAAGAGGATGGGGCCAGGACTTCAAAGGGGTTGCGGGGATTCTTATCAGTCAGGTTTCTGCTGTGAGCAGGATAATTACACCCCACATGTTACTTCCTCCCCGCGACCGTCTGCAGAGGCTGAGGAGGAGGAGGAGGAGGAAACGGGCCTGGTGTCACCCGCTCACACGTGCATGTCCAGATAGCAACAGTGCAGGGCACACACCTCCACCGTCCCTCCCACTCCCCCCTCCTTCCTGGGAACTTCTTCCTCCCCACACATCCGTGTCCCCTGCAAATCTCCTGTCCGTGGCTATCTTGCCTTCAGAAGAGGCAACAAAGGCCAGAGGAAATTAGCTGTGCTCTAGGGAAAAAGGAAGCAGACAGCTTTTTTGTAATTGGACTTACAGGCGGCCCAACTGGCCCGGGCTGTCCTGGGGTTCCTTCGGGTCCAGCTGGTCCAGTGGGTCCTGGTGGCCCAGGAGGCCCTGGGGGACCTTGGATTCCCGCTTGTCCTTGTTCACCCTGAGGTTCGTTAAAACAAGGGGTTATCAGCAGGCAGAGCTAACCCTTCACACCACCACCCCTAGGGCCCAAGGCACGTCAGCCCGGCTGAAGCAGAAGAGGTAGAAGCAAGTCCCGGGTTAGTGCCAGGAGAGGTTTCCAAGAGTGAGGCAGAGCCCCGCTGAGGACGGCCGGGCTGCCTGGGCAGCAGGAGCCGGCACCCTATGGTTTGCAAAGACATCGGAGGCCACCTCGTCAGAGCTCTCTTTCAAAGGGATCTACAGATGACTGAGCAGTCCAAAGAGACCTTCATGAGTCTGTCAAGTGCTGTTTCTATGTCAAGGCTCAGCATCTCTTGAGCTTCCCAGGAGGCTTTCCAAAGCACTTGACAGTCATATGTGAAGCAAAGCCTCCCGTGACCACACTGGCACTTCCAGGCAGAGCCACAGCGTCTTACCTCAGCCTAGTTTTTTTCCCTGTGCTATATTTGTTGGACAACACTCCCTCTGTTTTGCCAAGGACCAAAAGTAGAAACGCCACAAAACCAAAAGAAAATAACACGATCATCATGGCATTTCTGGAGCCCACCCAAAACAGGCCGATGAACGCCAGGCGGAGCTTGTTTTTGTAAGATTTAACAAGCTAGTGCGTGCGGAGCCACCTGCCATTTTAAGCTCTCTGAAACGGAGCCGTTTCAGCCGGTTCCTCCCCAGGCCCCTCGGTAGCCATTCGGCGGCTGTGGCTCATGCCTCAGCAATGTCATCTGGCCCAAAGGACCTGGACTTGGGACCAAGCGGCGCTGAGGAGACAGTGGGTTGGAAGCGCCACGTTTGAATACCAGACTGCTGATCTATAATTGATGAATCCAGCAAACTCCTAAGGCACCATGGCACCCATGTTAAGCTGCAAGTCTCCTGGGCTGCCCTCCCCTTCCCTCTCCCTAGATAAAATATCAGGACATCCTATCGCCAGCGACCCAATTTATATTTGAAAAAAACTCTCCCTGGTGGATCCATGGGAAGCTAGAAACCAAACGAGGTTGTTTCTCAATTATAAATCAATGGGCGTGCAGATTGGTCTCTGCTGTATTTATCCTCTCTACAGCCTTACACACTGCTGCTGGGTAAAACTAAGTCTGCTCTCACGCACTTGCGTGTTCAGGAGAAGGCATGAAATCTGTCCCCTGCATGTGTTCCTACCAAGTGTCCTGTTTTTCCTGGCTGCCTTTAGTAAAACATGCAGATACAGGGATGCTTGCTTTATTTAGAATGATAAATGAAAGTAATAAGCTGCAAATTTCGTCCCTTCTGCCACGAGCTCTATTTAAAAGAAAATTTCCAACACGCGGGCCAGGCTCACGGGAAGCTCAGTCATGTGAGGAGCAACAGCCCTTGTCCTCCAGAGAGCCCCCACCTTGCCGACCGACCCGAAGCCCACTCTGGGAAGCCTGCTGGGCCAGGCAGGGAAGGTCCCCTCTCTTTTCCCCATATTGTGAGTGGATCCTGGCTCACCCTGCAGCCCATGCAAGGGGACACAGGATCCTTCCTGAGCTTCCCTATCCTCCATACTCGGTGCTATTAAGCAGCCCTGAAAATGGTCTCATAGCTTTTAAATTTGAGCGGGAATCTGGATCCACCGAAGACAAGAGGTTTGCAGGACACTGGAATACAGTTCTAGATATCCTCTTGGCCTGACCTCTCGGCCTGGCTTCAGAGACTTCCCTCCCATTGCATCTTACAGCAACCCCATCACGGGTGTGCCATGGGAAGGCAAAGGGGGCTTTGCCTCTCTTTGGCTCTCCCTTCTCTATTCCCACCTCCGCTGCTCTCTGGCAGCCCAGTCCACGCTCCAGATTCGGGGCACTGGAAATGCAGCCCAGCGCTGGGAATGGGTGCTGGCACCCCAGAGCCCTGCCCCAGCACAGGGAATGGCTGGAAGGAGCTCACCCAAACTCCCGTTTGCATCTCCTTTGCTTTGCTGCGTCAGTCGGAGAGTGCTTTGTGTAAGCAAGAGCCCATCCATATGGATTCCTAAACACGCAAAACGTTATTTACCACATCATTACAGTCTTATTAACGCATTCCACACAAAAAGACCCCCACAGATCTGACTGGATGGTAAGCAGATACAGTAAGTTGGAGATCAGGTGTCATTTTCATCAGATGTCATTCTGTATTTTTAGCCCTTGACTGGAGTTATTTTTCAGTTCGTTTAAACACCAGTTAGCCACTCCAGATTGTGCCTCGGCAATGCAATGCTTGCTCAGCTTCCTAACGCAGGTCTCCCCTCAGCTCATGTCTCTGCTAAGCCCAAGCCCTCAGGCAAAGTACTCTTGCTGATGTGCTCAGCGGCAGCAGCGGGATGTTCCTCTCTCAGGCACTGGTGCTAACATTTATTTTGCAGCCTCACGTTTGTTATTAGTATTCATATGTTGGGCTCCTGGAATTGCTTGGTGCTGGCAGATCTGCAGGAGTGGATTACACGCTGTTGCACTTAGGGAATGAATACGGCAACGGCAAAACAGATCACGGCAAAATTCTCCGGTGAAGTTAGCCTCTGGGAATTTGCAGCCCTGGCTGACGACAGGATGCGGGGCAGCTATTCAAGTTTCCCACTTCATCCTGGATACAAACTTCAGCTTTCAAAGCCTTTCCAAAAGATCAGTCCTTGGCCTGGCT